CCCCTCCCCATCAGGACAGCAGCGCTGTGAGGGGGGATCCCTTTGCTCACCCTTGTTTTACAGAGGAGGCCGGTGAGGCTTAGGGACGTGAAGTGAGTCACCCCCGGCACGGAGCTGACAATAGCAGGAGCCAGCCACAGGGACGTGGGTGGGGTCGGGGCAGGCCATTGCGGGGTGCTACCTGGCCACTGCCTGCCATTTGCAAGTGAAATAACATGGAGACAGACCAGGGGATGGTGTTCACTGCCCCACAAGGGCCCTGAGGCCTCCCCTAGCCTAGGAAAGGCTGCCCTGACCCCTTCGGTCCTGCAGCAGACGCCTAGGGATGAGGTGCAGGTGCCAGACATCATGACGGCCACACGCAGTGGAGATGGAGGCCAAGGTGGCGGCGAGGCAGACACTGAATGGGACCATTGCTGGAGTTAGTTTATGAAATCAAGGGAAAGGGTAGGGGGCTGCAGGTGCAGCTGAGGGGTGTCAGGGACAGCTTCCCTGAGGACGGGTGCCTGGGCGCGTGGATGTGGACCCCAAAGCTGATGATTTATAGCAATGATTCTAGCGAGTAACGTGCTGTCAGGACTGGGGTACAGCACCTGCTTCGCTTAGCATGCTCAGGCCCCAGGTTCCAGCCCCACTGCTACAGAACAGACAGAAGAAAGAACAGAAGAAGAAAAGAAAGGAAGGACTGCAGCCCTTCAAGGGGGAGAACCAGCAGCAGCTCCTGAGATCCGCGCCATGTTGGAACTTAGGACACTGGGAAAGCAAACAACCAGCCTGCCTCCCTGCTAAACAATGGTGAACCTGATGCACGGCCTAGAGCCAAACATCCCACTTCCCCTACCCGCCTTCTCTGTCCCCCGTTAGCAAATGGGAACCAGAAATCTGAGCGTCTCCTGGGAGGTTGACCATAGCAAATAAGGGGGATTTCCTTCTACCATCTCTTTGAAGGCAAATATTTTTATTACTGTTTTGCTCTGTTCTGATTAATGGTACTGCTCTATTCAATATTCTGTTTTGATAAGTTTTATAATGTTATGTATTTCATCTCATTTTGATATACGTGATTGAAAGAACAACTATTACAAAGATAATGAAATATACCGTGATACCTATTACTGTTATCCCGATAACCTGCTGTGAAGTTCTGTACCAATTTCACTGAATGATCTTAGTTGACCCTGTTCTGTCTTGTCCTGTTGCATTTTACCACTTTCAAAATAAAATTTAAAAAAAGAAAAGAAAAGAAAGGAAGGAGAGTGGGTGCCCGTGGATACGCTAAGGAGACCAGTGTTCCTCCCCGAGGCCCTGTCTGCGTCTGGGTCCGCTTGCTCCTCCTCGGGCTCAGGGGCCCTTGGCCTCGGCCCTCTGATGCCACAGTAGGAGGACCACACCTCATACAGCCACTCTAGGGCAACACCCAGCTCCTGCAGGCAGGCCAGGGTGGCCCGTGACAGCCACGTCCTACCCTAGGCTGGCACCGAGCAGGCAGAGGTGCTGAAGGTGACCAGTCCCCCGGTGCCACTTCACTGACCCCAAATTGTCAGATAGAGAACTCCTCAGAGTTGCCCTTAGGTTGGGATCAGATTCTCACATCACAGATACGGGTTCAAGGAGGCTGATTCAGTGGCCCAAGATCACACAGCAACACCCCTCCAGGGCAAAGGAGGCAGTTCTGAGGGACCAGTGTGCCTCTCCTGTGGCCAGGAATGGGGAGCAGTAAGGAAAGGGACAGAAGATGGACCTGAAGGAGTGGCAGGGAATCTGAGGCAGGGAGATCTCAGCATGAGCACAGGAACCCAGTGGCTTGCTGGAGAATGGGGCCCTCCTGGGGAATGAAATCTACATCCATATCTCCTAAAAACTGAGCACACATCAATCTACACAAGACCCAAACAGTGGAAACACCCTAGATGTCTAGCAAGAGGGTAAACTGTGCTCCATCCACATACTAGAGTACTATTCAGGCATGAAAAGGAATAGCACTCTGCCGCCGTGGCCAAACCCCAGAGCGACTGCGGTGAGAGGAGCCAAGAGCCACAGGTGTACGAGTCCACGGATAGGGATGTTCACAACAGGCGCAGCTGAGACAGAAAGCGGCTCGGAGGCCATCAGGGCCTAGGGCCCATGGGAGCTAGAAGGGAGACGAGGCGTTTTCATTGTTTCCTGGTGCTGGGGATGAAACACAGGGTCTCTCACATGCTAGGCAAGAGCTCTACCACTGAGCCATAGCTCGGCTCACAAGAAGGCTTCTTTTCGAGACAAGAGTGTTTTAGAACAGACTGTGGGAATGCCCACACACCTATGTACCAAAAGCCCTAAATACTTTAATGGGAGAATTTTATGATATGTAGATAATATCTCAATAAAATTGTTTAAAAGACTTGGGGAGGGAGCTGGGTGTGGTGGCACACACCTGTAATTCCAGTACTCAGGAAGCTGAGGCAGGAGGATTGTTGTGAGTTCAAGGCCAGCCTGAACTACACAGCAAAAGCCTGTTTCGAGAGAAAAAGAAAACAAGGAAGGAAGGAAGGGAGGAAGGGAGGAAAGAAACAAAAGCCAGCACTGTAGGCCAGGCCCTGGACGGCCACCTTGTTTTTTCCTTTTTTCCTCCATATTGGGTATTGAACCCAGGGCCTTTGGACTGAGTTACATCCCCAACCCTCTTTTGTTTTGAGACATGTCTTCGATAAGTCACTCAATTATCTGGGCTGGGCTAGAATTTATGAACCTCCTGTCTCAGCCTCCTACAGTGCTGACATCACGCTGTCTTTGCTCAGAGGGGCCTGTCCAGTCATTGACGGATTTATGACAACAAAAGATCCCAGAGAGCTGCAAGAAGGCTCCCCTAGCCACCAACACTTAGGATCCTTGATTCAGTCCCCACCACTCCTGGTGGCTTTGGGGGCCTCAGGGAAAGTCAAGAGAAGGTAGCAGGGGCCCTGCAAAATAATCCAGCCTGACTGGTGAGATGGGTGGTGGGGGAGCCCACAGAGGGGCGAGTGTGGGAGTCCCTTGTGCGTGCACAATGGTGCCTCAGAAACCTGTCCCGGGGGAAAACAGAGGATCTCTATCGCCCATGCAGCCTAAGAAAGAAAGGCCTGTGCTCTTGCAGGGCCTGGCCCGCGGGCTCGGAGCCAAGAATGTGCGGCAGCCGCCATTAAGTTTCTAAAATTATGCCTGGGTGGGGGTTGGCAAGGGCGAGGACCAGGAAAGGCTGTGGTGGTCGGCTGGCAGGCAGGAAATCCTTCTTCAGCTTCTCCAGCCCCAGCCTGTGAGCCGGGCATCGGGAAGGAGCGCTCCTCCTGCAGCTGTGTCGTTGGCTCTGGGAATCAAAAGCCTGCCTGTGCCCTCCTGGGTGCTCGACTGTTTTTAGACCCTGCCACCGCGCCTTCCCAGACTGCTCGAGTTTTCCTGAGGGTCACAGGAAGAGAATGGAGCCCAGGAGGAAATGGGATGAAGAAATTCCCGGTGGCAAAATCTAGAAGTGGGAACAGGGTCGATGTGTGCAGTATTGCGGATTGTGCACTGCACAACTGCCTGGGAACAACTAGTGTATGTGGCCAGGGCCCTCACTTTTTTTTTTTTTTTCCTGTGGTGTTGGGGATGAAGCCCAGGGCCTATCCTGTGTGAGGCAAGTGCTGACCACTGGGTTACACCCCCAGGCAGGTTTCACTCTTGGTTAAGGCTGAGAGAATGTATTTCTGTGGCCACTTTTGTTTGTGCAGGACACAACACCCAACCACAAATGCTAATCCTAATTAAAATAATCAGTTCCCCCAACCAGCCATCTATCTCTAGGAGGTAGGAGAGACTGCAAAAATCCGGGGATTTCTGACCACCCAGTCACAGTTACCCAACCTGGTTTGAATGTCACCTAGACAATGAAGGATTTCTAGTGTCCGTGGGTCCTAATCATGGCATGGGATGCACTGACACTAAAAGTCACTGTTGGCCTCACATTCAACGGTACCTGGGTGTCCACATGTTGCGTACTAAATCCAGCAGCCCTGTGCCCAGAGCCCACGGGGCACTCTCACACCGCTCCCGCCTGCCTCCCCACTAACTCAGCAGCTGTGGACCAGAGCCCGGCCCACTCTCACTGGCTTCCTCCTCCCCCTTGGCTCCGAAATTGCCTCCTGGCATGCCTGGGAGTGTTCTGTGGGTGCCCGGCGGACTTGCCCCCCAGGAGTCACAAACAAAGTCCCAAAGCCCAAGGCTGAGGGCACTGCCCACGCCAGCCCTGGAACTCAGAGAAGCCGCGAGAAGTCCAGCCTTGCACAGAGCTTGTGGGGCCCGAGCTGCCAGCCAGTGACGCGAAGCACCAAGCCCGGGCCACTTCCGCAGGGCCACCAGGACTCCTGGCTGCCAAGCGCCTGCAGGGCAGTGCAGGGGGCCGGCCTGCAGGAGCGGCAGGTGGAGAACCGGGAAGGAAGGGCCTACTGGACAACTCCACCCCAACCCACACCCCCTGGGTTCCGTGGGAGCGACTGGTGACCTCACAGGGACACCTCAGGCCGGAGGAGGCCGCCTGCGTTGGGGGGCGCTGCCCAAGGCTCGGGGTGGAAAGTTACGGGGTCCAGCACCGCGCACGCCCAGCCAGGCTTCGCCCACTCCGGCTCCCCGTTCCCGGCTGCCCCGCCCCCTGGCTGGTCCGGAGAAGGCGGGCCGGCCCGGAAGGGCTGCAAGATGTCTATCGGATGAGTCAATTCTCTCGGGAACGGTTCCACTTGCAACCCCTCTGGGCTGGGCCCCAGGGCTTGGGCGCCTCTCAATGGTCCTATCGGGCCCCTCTGTTATCCCTGAGTCCTGACCTCTGAGAACGCAGGGGCACTTCCTTCCTCCAAAAGCTGCCCTTCAAGGGTACCCCCTTCCGGTCAGCCCGGAGGCGCCTCCCTCCCCTGCTCCACCTTTTGTAACAGGGATTGAATAGGGTCCTGGCGCTGAACCACACCCCGCCCCCCAGCCTTTTTTTTTTTTTTTTTTTTTTTTTTTGAGGTAGAGTTTTGCTAAAGCCCTAACTTACCCAGGCTGAGGGTGCTGCCCTCCTGCCACGACCTCCTAGAGGGCAGGGTGCTAGGTGGACTAGCTCTGCCAGCTCCTTGACTCTAGCTTGGTTTCTACTCCTGCCCCCCTCCCCCAAAGAGGAGGGCGGGTACTAAGACTGCATCAAGAGAGACCAGAGCTCCAGGTCACCCAGGAACAAGCAATGCAGCCAGATGGCCAGTCCCCATCCGTTGCTCCATTACTCGGGCCATCAGAGCCTGTTCTGCCTGCTCTGACCTGCCTTGCGGTGCAGGCCTCATGATTCACAGGCTTCTCTCCCATGCCTGGCGGGAGAGGGAGGGCCAGCTCTGCTGACAAAGGAGGCTCCTAGGAGAAACTGGGTGGGGGTGGTCATGGAGGGCTTCCTGGAAAAGGCCACTCTGTCCAAGCCACAGGTAAGTGGGAGAGGACGGAAAGGGAGCAACAACACTCAGCAAGGCATTGTGCAGTTCAGGCTGATGGGACCTAAGAGAGAGCGGTGGCTAGGGTGGCCAGAGAAAAAGCTGTACTGAGGGGTCCTAGAACTGTCACATGGTGTCAGATGACCTGGGGCAGGCCACCCTCTTTGCAGTGGGAACAAGGACAGAGATGGAGTTGTGGTCCTGTGGAGTCTTGCTTCCTTCCAGCTCTGGGGCTATACATTTGCACCTTTGCCTGGGAGTCACAGGTGGGGTTGTCACCTTGGTGTGGGGAGCACAGCAGAGGCCAGCAGAGGTTTGTTTTTGAACGCAGGTAAGGCAGTACAAGGCCCTGGTTCTAAGACCACACAGAGGGAGGGGGTTTTCAGTCCTAGGCCATAAAGAGGGTGGCTTAAAGTGAGAGGCACTCATTGTCACAGTCCTAAGAGGTGAAGTCCAGAAAGACCTGCACTCCAGCCCCCACCCCACCTGCTCCAGAGGCTGCTACCACCCCGGGCCTCAGCTCTTAGCCAGGGGCTGGCTCTGCTGCACACCGCCCCTCCCCAAGTTCCATGGCTCCTCCCCAAGCTCTGGGCCTGCTGTCTTCCTACAAGGACCTTTGTAGCCGGATTTCTGGACATCTCAGTAGATGGATCTCTTTGCAAGATCTTTAATTACATCTGCAAAGACCAGTCAGCTAAGGCCACAGCATACAGGGTGCGACAGCCTTAAATAACAAAGTCCTTCTCTCCCAGGAAGAACCTCCAAGCTCCTCACTGGTGATGCTTATGGTTTGGAAGCTGTGCTTCAAGATGCTTAAGGTTTGGAAGCTGTGCTTCAAGAACAGACAGGAGCAGGCCAGTCCTCGGATAATGACATACTTCTCTGGGTCCCTACAGAGACACCCTCCCCCAAACCTGTAGAGAGGATGACATCTAAGGATATGCAGCTCGTCCTGTCCCCTTCCTATGCAGTTTGTCCTCTAACCCCAATCAGCCTTGCAATCAAGCTTTTGTTTTGCTCTTTTGCAGTACTGAGGATGGAACCCAGGGCCTCCACAGTGAGTTACATTTTTAAATTTGGAGTAGGAACTCACTAAGTGGCTAAATTGCCCAGGCTAAGATCCAGCTTGTGATTCTGGTGCCTCAGCTTCCCAGAACGCCGGGATTACAGGTGTGTGCACACCTGGCTTCAGACTCTTTTCTGACCATCAATATTCATGCATCAATATTGGTTTCTGTACACATCAGGCACTTGCCTAACAAGTGCCTTCTGCCTAAGAAGATCACAGTGACGACCTCAAGTGGGCATATCTTTTGGGAAGCTGCAGCCAGCAACCACACTGTCCTTAACTCTGTGGGAAAGCTGTGGCCAGAAAGGACCAGAGACAGGAGTGACGCTGCAGATGCCCTGAAGCTCACCTTCCTAACCCTTTGAGAAAGCTGGCAGCCCAGCCTCTCCTCTGGTTTAATGTGGCAGCTGCCAGCCACACACAGCTGCTGAGCCCTCGAACCGTAGTGGGTGTGATTTCCGATGGCGCTGGAGTCTACTGTAGGCCACATCTTCACAACTTAGTGTGGGACAAAGGCAGTGAAACATCTCGCTCATACGTTTCTGTGGATTTTGTGTTGAAGCAACACTCCGGATATATTGGGTTAAAAAGAAATAGAATTCAAGTTAAATTCTTTTTTTTTTTTTTTTTTTTGTCTTTTTCATTTTTATCGGTACTGGGAATCGAACTCACGACCGCCTGCTTGCAAGGCAGGCACTTATGCCGCTGAGATAAATCCCCAGCCCCCAAGTTCTTTTTTTTTATTTAAAAAAAAAAAACTGCAATGAAATGCACATAACATAAAATTGACCGTCTTAAGGTACACAGTTCAGTGGTGTTTAAGCCGACACCCTGTGCCCACGAGCAGTCATCTCCATCCCCTCGCCCTCCACCCTGGCCACCACCAATCTGCTGCCTGTGCCTGCCAACTGACCTGTTCTGAATACCTCATCCAATAGAAGCACATGATCTTTGTCCATCCGTGCTTGGCTCCTCCTACCGAGCATAATGTCACTAGGGTATAGCCCTGACAGTGGGGATGTCATTCCTTTTGTGGCTCAGTTACACCCACCTGGTGGACACTCCACTCCTCCATGGTGGGCACCCAGTTCTTCCCACCTTTCAGTCACTGTGACCATCTTCTTCCTTTGTCACCATGCGCCCAGAAAGGGTGCCCTGCAACCCGAATCACCTTGGGAGTGGACAAGCTGTAATACAGATGATACCAGGTAGGTCACGGGTCACTTCCTGGCTGTGGACACAGCAGTCAGGGCTCTTGGGCAGCTGCTCACTGGGGCTGGGCTCACTCCCAGCACTGTGTCCACCTGCCTCAGAGCCAGCTGTGTCCTCGGCACCCAGCTTGGCACCTAGTCAGTGACACTCAGTACCCACACAGTGGAAGGAGAAGCCACAGAGGAGGGAACGGATGGACAGACTGACACTGCAAGCTTGGGGACAGGAAAGCCCTCTGGGGCAGAGGAGGAGAGAGAAACAGAGAAAAAGAAACAAGGCCCAGAGCGCCATCCAGAGTCTATTGGGCACAGAAAAGCAAAGCCACATGTGGTATAATAAAAAGTCAGAATTGGTCTTTTCCTCTGGCACCAAGCTCCTAAAACCCTTGGAATTTCCTGAGTGCAAAGTTTCCTTTGTATGCTAATGAGATGCCGCAGGCTTGTGGAGGCAGCAGGACGACGGGCGGGGGGGGGGGGGGGGCACAGGGCTGACGGCAGTGCATCTGTCAAGCCCATGGGGTGAAACCAGGGTAAAAACCACCATCTCGGGCTCAGGGAGCTGCCCAGCTGGCCTCAGTGTCCCCAGCTCTGAGGACAGCACCCTTGCACCCAGAACTCCACCCTCTCCGGGTCCCATCAGCACCTCCATGTGTCCAGCATCCTGAGATGGTTTTTCTCAGTACTGGGGCTTGAACTTTGCATGGACCTTACATCTCTAGACTTTTACAGCTTTTTAAAATTTTGAAACAGTTCTAAGTCTCTAAATTGCCCAGGCTGGTTCAAAGGTGGGACACTTCTGCCTCAACCTCCCAATTTAGGGGCGATTCCATTACTTCTGCAGACTGGAGCTGAACCCCACTCCGGCCCGCTCCCTCCTGGGAGGTCAGGGTGGGGCAGACTGTTCCATCCCTGCAGTGCTGAGCTGGCTCCAGAGGTACCTTGTCTGGCAGGTAGTTAGACATTAGAAAGCCTTGGGGGCAGAGGGGGCTCCATCCAAAGAGCATGCTTTGCCACTTACAGTTCAGTCATGAGACTAAGACCTCTGCAGAATACATACACCATCATTCATTAGTTTCAGGCCTAAAACAACGGCACAGAGCACAGCAGCAGGTTAAGGTTGCACCCTGCACACATCTGGCCACCTGGCTGAAAAGATTTTGCCCCAGATGGGACACTGTAGTCGACGGGAGCCTGGGAGGCGGAACCAAGGGGCTCTATTTTGAGGTCATCTTCCCCGCCCCTAGGCAATTTACCTGTGGTGCCAGATGAATACCAGTGGGCTACCAGTGCATCAGTAATGTCCCTTAGGCACCACCTCAAACCTAAGCTACATGTATGCCCCATATCACGTGTCTGGCGGACAGAATGCCAGACCCCGGAGGGTCATAGAGTTTCTCTCCACATTCTTAAAATAAAGGCCACTTTTAATTCATACTTTTTATCTTTTTAGCTGCACCGAAAATTCTATCAGATGGTTCCCTTCTGCGCTGAAAATTCTATCACTGGCTATTTCCAAAACAACACACCTAATATTCCCAGGAGTCGCAGCTGTATCAGGACATCAGAAGGAGGAACATTCTCTAAAGACCCTCCCTCCTTGGGCTGAGATTTGATTTCAATTCGTACATGATTCAAGACCTCTGAAGGTCCATGGACCCCCAAAAAGGAACAAGGAAGACCTATTGTGGCTGACTTTTTGAGACAGGTTCTTGCTGTGTAGTTCTCAGGGATTCTTTTGCCTCAGCCACCCTCGTGCTGGGATCGCTGTGAGTTTGGAGCCAGCCTGAACTATATATCAAGATGCTGTCTCAGATCAAGTGTTATGGCTTGTTTAAATGTCCCCCTGGAGCCTCGTGCAGTTATGAAGGTGGCAGAGTCTAGCGTGTGGGATTGCTTTGTTGTCTAGCCCTAGGACTGGAGGTGTGAGTGATGCCCCCAACCAGGGACAGGTAACTCCCACGCGACACAGGGGAAGGAAGAAGTGTGCCTTTCCCCTTTTGCCCGTTTTACCCTCGTCGCTTGGCCACCATGAGTGGCTTCCTGAGCCGTGCCACTCTGGCTGGGAGCCAGTTGATAATGGACTGAAACCTCCACAAACTGGAAGCTAAATAAACCTTCCTTCCCCTAATTTTGGGTGTCAGGTATTTTGCCTAAACAACAAGAGAAAAGTAACCAAGACAACAAGACAAGACAAAACAAATACACAAAGAGAGCTCTCAGTACTCCTGCCTCTCAGGAAAATCCAGAGAGGCAGATACTCCTTCAGGACACAGATGTAGAATTATCATGTCACAATACTCCAAGCCACTCCCTGATCCTTAACAGCACAGGATAAGAATCCTGATATGTTGGCACATGACTAAAACCCCTTCCAGGCATTAATTATCACCTGGGCCATTATCCACCCCCCCAAGACGTCTTGCCAGGTGAGGCCACTCCGGTTTATGGCTCTCTGCTGCTCGGCAGCCTGAAGCAGCATGCTTTGGCAGTGCCCACGCTGTTCCTCCAGTGCATCAGTCCTCCCTCAGGGTGTCAGTCACTTACTCATTCTTGTACCACAGACTTTCCTATCTTTGAAGGGATATTTGGTTCTCTATGCAGATGTAGACTGCTGGCAGCAATTCTAGCCACCCTAGAGGGGAGGACCCCAAATCTGTAGCCCCGCAGGCAGAATGCAGGCAGCTTGGTGACCCTGGCCTCAGAAGCGGGAGCAGTCCTGTGGATCAGAGCCCTTTCCCGCAGGTCCAGGTTAACTCGGTTTCATTAGCACTCAGTGAACTCGGGCCCCTGCTGGGGTGAGAGCCAAGCCAGGTCCATGGGAAGGTGAGAGATGGGCTGACAGGGAGACACTTGGGTCTGGCTGGCTCCTCAAAGCCACCACGTCCCCTCCCTGGGCAACAGGGTGCCATCCAGCCCCTCAGGGCCTCCCCTGCAATAGAAATAGGAGAAGTGAGTTGTGTGTGATCACACCACACAGCACCACAACATGTGTGGCTTCTGGGTCCCTTTCTCATGTTTGGAGGTGACATGGAGGACATTCCTTTCCTAAGGAACCAGAGACCCAAGTGTGGTGAGCAGAGGGACTTGGCCTCATGCCCCTGCTAGGGAGCAAATGGGGCAGGGCAGCCTGCAACAACCCGGACAGCAAGGCCCCCGGAGAACAGGCACTGTGGCCGTCCTGACGCCGTCCTGCCAGCGTCCCCCCGGCTGCTGCTCGGGGTCCTGTCTCCTTGTATCCATGCCATGCCCCCTCGCTCTGTGGTTTTGCATTGAGGTTCTCCTCTCAGCCCCTGCGCAGGGTGATCGGGTGCCTCCAGGAGCTGAACCCCCAGATGCCACCACCCACGGATGGCAGACAGGAAGTGTCTGGAAATCCCCAGCTCTCTTGCTCCTCAGGCAGCACCACCCCGAGACACGGGATACAGCCCCTGAGAGGTCCCCAGCTTACAATGATGCCAGGTGCTGGGTCCTTCCGTCTGTCCTCCCCTGCCCCCCATAACTACACTACACCAGACAGAGCCTGTTGTCCTGGTTCCAGACCTGCTGCGGGTGATCAGGGGAATCCGCTGCAGCTTATGGTGAGAAGGTGAGAAGGCAGGCCCAGTTCTGGAGAGACTTCTCTGTTTTTTGCGAGAGAAACCCAAATTCAGAGCTTCCTGTGAATCTTCCAAATTTAAATCGCCAGCTGCAGTTAACAATACATACTGAAATGAAATAGAAAACCCAAACAGCCACAGCCATTCTGGCCCGAGCTGGAGGAGCGCTCAAGGGAAGCTGCAGGCTGAGAATGCACCTGGTTAGAAACAGCGCTTTGGGGAGGCTGAGACTGGAGAGTGCAGGTCTGAGACCAGCTTGGGCCACTGAGTGACTTCATGAGGCTGTTTCAGAATAAAAAGTAAGACAGGCTCAGGAAGCAGCTCAGGGTGCAGGACCTGAGCTCAGTCCCGGTTTCCCACCACCACCACCCTCCAAATGCGCACTTGAAGCCCAGCCGGTGGCTCCGGAGGGGCAGCCGCAAGAGGCCAGCTGGGAGCATCTGGAGCCCACAGCAAACAACCACTGGAAGGTTTCCAAACACGCAGACCCCAGGCCGCCTGTGCTGGCTCCTTGGCGTGGAAGAAACCCCAGGACCCTGCCAGCCACCTGATACCTGAGTTCAAGCTTAAGACAGACAACAGGGTGGAGTGGGGGCCTGAGCGCGAGTGCGCGGGGAGAGCGGCCCCCAGCCAACACCCTGAACTTGGTTTCATTCTGTGCAGGTGAGAAGGCCTCTGTAGCTTTCTACGCCTCCTGGCCGCCCCGCCTTCCTCTCTCAGGAGTGACAGGGAGTCCCTAGAGACTGGCTCAGCACTGGCTCACACGTTATTTAAAACCTGTTTATTTAACACATTGCTTTCCTGCAGCCTTCTCTGAATATCGCTGAACTCAGGGTGTCGAGAGAAGTACAGTGCGCATGCGTGTGTGGAGTCCGGTGAGAATTTTAGGTCCACGTATTTGCTATCATACTTTAGCCAACTGCACCTGTTCCAGGATGCACACGATGCCTGGTGGATTTCCACGCCAGGGGAAAGAAATTCTTGAGAGCTGTTACCTCTATGAATAGATACTTTGTGTATCATTAGTTCATTTGATCCTCTGAAAGACCCAAATAATTGCTTAGTATTACATTGTTAAGATGGCATTTCACTATGAGGAACATCAAAAGGAATTTACTGCAAACCCATGGGAAAGACTTCAGGTATGGCTGGATCCAGGGGCACAAACACCATTATGAAGAATATCTCTCTGGTGTTGGACATGTAGCTCAGGTAGTGTTGCCTGGGATGTGTGAGACCTTGCATTTGGCCCTGGGACCATAACAAAAAGAAGGATTTCTCTCAGACTCTGCTGTCCTCTAAGGCTCTCTCCTTCTTGGATAGGCCTTTCCTATGGCTGTGATGATGGCTGCCAACCATCGCAGGCGCATCTCCCACCAGCTGAGTCATCCTAGTGGACAGCACGGGCCACATGTGTGCTTGACTTGGATCAGTCACCGTTTTCAGTGATAGAATTCCTGACCACATGCCCACCTCTGGAGGTTGACAGCATCAGTCCCCTTAGAATGGAGGTGGCAATGGTGCTTACTGTGCTCAGAAGGGAGGCTGGGCACTGGGCATCAAGAATAAGATACCTCCCACAGCAGGGCATGTGAAATAATAGATGAGTCTCATGGTATCAGAAAGACTGTGGAGGGGCTGGGGATTTAGCTCAGCGGCATAAGCACCTGCCTTGCAAGCAGGCAGTCATGAGTTCAATCCCTGATACCGATAAAAATGAAAAAGACAAAAAAAAAAAAAAAGGTAAAAAAAAAAAAAGAAAGAAAGAAAGACTGTGGAGACGGTTGCATGGGCTGTGCACTGCATGTCTCCAGGGGGTCTATTTACATTCACTCTCCCGTATGTTTGTGTAGTTATCATGATGTATCTCTAACAGATGGCACTTCCGTGTCATAAGGAAGAAAGTGTGACAGATTGAAAAACAAGGTCACAGTATTTTGCAACTGTTCCCAGCAAGGACAGCGTATTTCCTGACACAGCATCTGGACTGGCCTCGTGACGGCGTGGAAACCTTGTCTAGCAGAATGAAGCGACAGAGGTGAAGGTGATGCTGCAGAACTCAGGCCCGGCTTCCCTGTTGGCCTGCAGCCAAGGCCAGCGTGACTGAGGCGCATGACCCAGGCAGGGAGCCCACAGGGCCTCTGGGAGCGCTGTGCTGTGTCCACCGGTCCATGCTGAATTCCCCGGAGGCTCTAAGTCCAAGGCCAGCACAGGAGGATTTGTGCGAGGTCTGCAGATGGAAGCGACACTGTGGACGTGGCTACGGGAAGTCCAGGCGCCAGCTGTGACAGTGCTGCCTGCTGGCATCACCTCCCAAATAAACCACTCGCAGCCGGTTGTCCACTTGGGACCCACTTTCTGGGGACGTAGGAAGGACTGGGTAGGACCCTGAGGCTGCCCTGGCCTCCCATACTGTGTGCTGAGGAATGGGACAGGGAAGCCTACCAGGTGCAGAGATGCAGACCGTAATCCCAGCACTGTGGGAGGCTGAGGCAGGAGGATCACAATTAGACCTTGTGTCAAAATAAAAAGAATTTTAAAAACGGGTGCCGTATAGCTCAGTGAGAAGGCCCTGGGTTCAGTCCCCAATAGGAGCTGGAATACTACGTGGGTCGGTGGTATTGTGCTTGCACAGCATCTGTGAGGCCTTGGATTTAATCCACAGCACCAGAAGGAGGGAGGGAGGGAAAGAGGGCAGGAGGAGGGAGGGAGGGATCCTCCAGTCAGGCTTTCATTCACTGAATAAAGGACAAGCTCTTGCCACCTGCTGGTGCTAGGGACAGAAAGAGCCCTGAGCTGGGAGCCGGCCAAGCAGTTCCAACTGCTCTACAAGACAAAAGCAGTCACTGAACTCTTCAAGGCCGCCCCTCATGGCTACCACTGTCCCATGAGCGGGAAATGTCATCCCTCACTATTCAAACAAGGGAACAGGCCCGGGTGTTCGGCTAGACTGCTCAGCAGCAGAGGCAGGATGGGTCAGTTGACTGACTCATGCCATGCTGAGAACTGAACCCGGGGCTGAGTTACACCCCCAGCCTGTTATTATTTTTATTTTGTTTTATTTTGAGACAGGGTCTTGTTAAGGTGCCCGGGCTGGCCTTGAATTTACCATCCTCCCGCCTCAGCCTCCCAGAGCGCTGGGAATTCCAGGTGTGGGCCACCTCAAGCAGTCTTAGAGGCACATTTCCAGCTGGGAGCTGGCTCCAGATTCACGCTCCTCACTGCTTAAGTGTTCCAGGTTGGACACACAGGGAAAGTCCTAGAACATAAACAGTGTCCTGGTAAATGCCAGGAACTAGTCCCTCGGCGGTGTGAGAAAGATGATTTCCGCAAGTTGGCTGAGGCTGGCATCCTAACCCCTACCCTCCTAGGAACAGGGGTGTAGATCACTGCTCCACCTTGGCAGCCCTCCTGGCCCCTGCCGGGCTCTCAGGGCCACACCTTGCGCATGCTCACGGCCGACCAATGGCAACACAGCCTCCCTAGGCGTAGGCAGCGGCTTCAGATTGGGCACGTGGCCAACCTGAGCCAA